CAAAAGTAAATTGTCTGCATGCTTCATAAAGGCGAGAACTGGAAAAAATAAAAAGAAGCGAAAAGTTAGGTGCTTTCTTTTGTTTTAAATAAAAATTCATTGCCATTAAGCTCGATTTTTTTTTCTTCCGCTGGCATGTTCACAGTCCAGAATTTGTTTTAAAATGATGTTCGCGAACATGTTCGTGAAAATGTTCGCATAGTTAGTAGGCAAACGCGGCGAACATGTTCGTGTAACAAATTCGACTGTGTATACCCCGCTTAAGGTCAGATCTGGCCGGGAAAACGTAAAGTTGGCAGCCCTGGACATCAATATCACTAACCATAAAACACATAGACCGGACAAGTAGTGTAAAGCTTCGTATTCGCTCGGCTCCTAACTTTTAGGTTCGGGTTACGAAAATATGGGAACACGAAATCATTTCGCTGCATGCGCTCGGCCGAGATGGTCAAATGTTGAACAAAAGATCCCTCTATGCTTAATGTTTCCCTTGCTTTCTCGCTCTCTCGATGCTCTCTGCTTTCTCAAATATATATATGTATGTATGCATGTGAGCACAAACAACTGCTCACAAAAATTAAAATTTCTTCCCTTCTGTGTGAATAGTACACCTAACTCTTCATATCATTTTTCATGATTATTTGTGGGAGAGAGGAATATGTTTTCGCATTGAGCATGCACACACACACACTTTCAGTATTATTCATGTATGAGCATTTGTATGCCTGCGTGCGAAGCTCTTGCTGCTTGTAGCAGCAGATTTTGGGTTTTACTATTTGAACAGGCAGCAAGAGTAACGCACACAGACCACATATGCTCATAAAGCAAGTAGCAAGTGTGTCGCGAAATCATATTCTTTATGCGCATCAATACTCTCATACCCCTCCCACAAATAATTATCGAAACGCTTAAAGATTGTTTGGGGAGATCGTCGCGAACAAATTTCAATTTTTGTGCGCTGCTGAACTTGATGATTTGAGGCCCCATGGAGACAGAAAAGAGAGAGTAGTAACAAGTAAGCCCCAGTCTCGAGTGAGAGATACCCTGAACCATCCATTCTACGCATTCTTCTTCTTCTTTTATGCACACATGCATACACACGCATCCACAAGCACGTATATCATGCGCTCTGCTGACTGCGCAGCTAGCAGCGACTGCGCTTGGGCTGCGCTGCAGTGTGGGCAATATTATGAATTTATTAGCTAAATAATTTCTCTTTTAGTAAGACTATCTTTATGAAACTTTCAGAGTGTAATCATATGGTTAACATGTGTGTAACCGAAATTGCATAAATTGCATATAAGCATACATAAAAATTTGGAGACTCTAGTAATAAAGGTGTAGAAGATATAATTATATAACTGGTTTTCGATAAGGTTTTTTATCGATAAAAAAGATCGGGATGAGTTATCAATTTTTAATGATAAACTCGATATCCGCGCTGTAATTACACATTTATGAAAAAAATTTCAAGTCTCTAGCTCTTATATCTTCTGAGATCGACGCGTTCATACATACGGACGGACGGACGGACGGAAGGACGGACGGAAGGACGGACGGACAGACAGACGGACAGGGCCAAATCAACTCAGCTCGTCGCCCTGATCAAGAATATATATACTTTGTGGGGTCTGCCACGCCTCCTTCTGCCAGTTACATACATTTCAACAAAAACATTATACCCTGATTTCCCATTGAAAATGGGTTCAGGGTATAAAAAGAAAATTATAAGTCTACGCCCATTAGGGGCGTGGCAAATCGGACCTGAAGATATAGTGATTTTTTATGTTCTGCTATATTTTGGACACTATTGATGCCAGAGACCCCAAATTTTGTATATACACTCGGGCTGATCACCCAAGACCAAAAAGCTTTGTCGGACATATGTACGCCCACAGGGGGCGTGGCAAACCGCAAAAGTTGATATGCCCTAAAGTATAATAGCTAGAAGCTTTAAAATGGATAGTTGAGTTACTGGTAGCCTCCCCTATCGATTCCCCAAAAAATTTTTACGCCTCCTTAGGGGCGTGGCATATCGAAAAATACCCTGTAATTTTCAATTTTTTTGAGGGTAAGCATTCAAACTTTGCAGTTAGGGTACCGTTATCTCGTTCTAAAAACTGACCAAAAATGATGTGTCTACGCCCAGTTGGGGCGTGGCAAATCGGAAAAACCTGTATATTCTACAGTATTAGAGCGAATCTTAACTACTAAATTGTTGATGGGATGTGAATGAGTATTCCGCAGTCGGTAACGCCCGACTGCTAAGTTCTTACTTGTTTTTCTTTTATTTTGTTGGGAATAAGCCAATCTTCCCAACGATACCAATATAAAAACTATTCGTACATTATGTTTGTTTCCTTTTGGTCAAAAAGTGCGACATTTACAAATTTTTTCGATGTTTTGCTTTATTTTGCAAATTTATCCAACTTTAAGAGGTCATAACTACTCTTAAAATTAATCTATTTTCAAAAATCTTTGGGATTCTGTCCCTATGGTTAGTTTCCAACCGAATAGCATCAAAAAATACAAAATCGGTTATTATGACTTTACTTATTTTTGCCACACTTCCGGCAGTGCTCCGACTGTATTATGTGCTATCGCTGTCACGACCTAGGCCACAATACGCAATGCTCTCTAACTAAATTGTGTCTGTCACACAGGTTGGCTGGAAAAGGAACAAACAATTAGTCATAATTGGTATTGGTAATATAGTATCATTTGTGCGATTCACATAACAAATAAAGAAATTATCGACTAGAACTTTCTTACTTGTTATGAATTATATTTTTATTCGAAAATTGACACACGATTATCTAGCTCAATGAAATCGATTTTCTCCTCGGCAGTGTACGAAATGTTTGTGCCAATAATATTCAAGTACTTTGGAGGCACTTTAAATAATGATGATTTGATATTTTAAAATGCCAAATTTCCCGCCGCATCATGTTGTGTGCGTCAAATATTCGAATGTGGATAGGAGTGTTCGTACGAACATTTTCATCGCCGTTTGTGCTCGCATAAAAAAAGAAATGTTTCTATCTTACGGATGTTCGTGCGAACATGTTCGAAAATGGATTCGAGTGTTCGCACGAACATCATTTCTACAAATATTTCGAACAGTTAACATAGGCCAAAATGAACAGAAAATTTCTTGATTGTTTTCAAAATAAAAGCAAAAACTATAAAAATAAAAACTTTCGCAACAAATCATAGGACGAATTATAATTAAAATATAAAGTTTTCCAAGAAAACGCCACATTTAATGTCATCAAAGCAAAAGTAAATTGCCTGCATGCTTCATAAAGGCGAGAACTGGAAAAAATAAAAAGAAGCGTAAAGTTAGGTGCTTTCTTTTGTTTTAAATAAAAATTCATTGCCATTAAGCTCGATTTTTTTTCTTCCGCTGGCATGTTCACAGTCCAGAATTTGTTTTAAAATGATGTTCGCGAACATGTTCGTGAAAATGTTCGCATAGTTAGTAGGCAAACGCGGCGAACATGTTCGTGTAACAAATTCGACTGTGTATACCCCGCTTAAGGTCAGATCTGGCCGGGAAAACGTAAAGTTGGCAGCCCTGGACATCAATATCACTAACCATAAAACACATAGACCGGACAAGTAGTGTAAAGCTTCGTATTCGCTCGGCTCCTAACTTTTAGGTTCGGGTTACGAAAATATGGGAACACGAAATCATTTCGCTGCATGCGCTCGGCCGAGATGGTCAAATGTTGAACAAAAGATCCCTCTATGCTTAATGTTTCCCTTGCTCTCTCTCTCTCTCGATGCCCTCTGCTCTCTCGAATGTGTATATGTATGTATGCATGTGAGCACAAGCAGCAGCTCACGAAAATTGAAATTTCGTCGCAGCAAGAACCCATGCCTTCCCTTTTGTGTGAAGAGTATACCGAACTTTTCAAAGCGTTTGCCATGCGTTTTCGTTATTATTTGTGGGAAGGGTATGAAAGCGTTGGTGCGCATAATGTTTTCGCGACGAGCATGCACACACACTTACAGTATGCTGCATGTACTATGAACATTTGTATGCCTGTGTGCGAAGCTCTTGCTGTCTGTAGCAATTTTAAATCCCAGCATTTGCATTTTGTCCATCTTGTGAAGTGCTCAAATACATATGTATGTATGTATATACATTTGATTGTGTGTACGCATGGGATGCACGGCTCACAATTATGGGATATCATTTGTAGAAGCATTTGTATGTCTGTGTGCCTTTACCTGTGCGTGTGTGAATATGTTTGTTTGTATGCATTGGACATGAACATTGGCGTGTGCCTCCGTCAACTTAGAATGGTGTGAATGATTTTGAATAACGAAAACGCATGGCATACGGCTTGAAGAGTTCGGAATACTCTTCACTCAGAAGGAAAGACATGGGTTCTTGCTGCGACGAAATTTCAATTTTCGTGAGCTGCTGCTTGTGTTCACATGCATACATACATATACATATGTACATATTTGAGAGAGCAGAGAGCATCGTGAGTGAGAGAGAACAAGGGAAACATTCAGCGCAGAGGGACCATTTGTTCAACAGTCGACCATCTCGGCCGAGCGCATGAAGTGAAATGATTTTGTGTTCCCATGTTGGTTAGTGGTTCTATGGTTAGTGTAGTTGCCAGCTTGTTAATTTGTCTATTGATCGGTAATTGAGAAACTTTATTGTGACTAATATGAGATATTAATCAAAATAAGTATTAGCTGTTTCGATTCTTAAATAATCCAGGTTTTCCGCTATCCTCAATTCCTAAATTTTTTTTACGAATCGCACTCGGAAATTAGCCCGATCTGGCCGAAAATGAGCCTAAACGGCAACACTGGTCCGGTCTGCGTGTAATCTGGTTAGTGAGGTGATTTTTATATCTCAAGAATATCGATGACAGAAATCACCCATTGTGCAGAGAGGTAAAAATATCTCGATAGTGTCATCGATTGTTGCCCAGCTCTAACACTCAGTAAGACAGTTAATATCAATCCATAGTTGATTAAAAGTAAAGAAGTAAGACAATGTATTTAATTTAATATATGTACATTTTGTAAATATTTATCTCTAACTAGTACACCTACATCATGCAGGGGCTCGGATTACAAAGTCTTAAAAAAAATCCAGCGGTAAGTAATTTCATTTTCTTCATATATTACATAACCATATTAAGTTGAAGGGAATTTTTTTCTTTTTTTTTTTTTATTAATATTTAGTTGATTCCACTATACGTTTGCGTGGCTGCTGGAGCGATTGGAGCCGTTTATTATATGACTCGTCTAGCTACAAGGAATCCGGATGTTACATGGAATCGCTCATCCAATCCTGAACCATGGCAAGAATATAAGGACAAGCAATATAAGGTACTAAATTCAATTCACATTTATATTTCAGTATATTTGTTATTTTTTCTTTTGACTAATTTCAGTTTTACTCTCCCATAAGAGATTATTCTAAGACGAAGAGTGCAGCTCCGAAATTCGAGGAATAAGCTTTTCGAATGCAATTAAATTGATTGTCAGAATAAACGCATTAAAGTGCTGATGTTTTGTGGTTTCTAATTTACAAATATGCTAGCTCATTGATTGGGATAATATGTTCTAATGAAGAAAAATAATAAAAACTATAAGCACTAAGCACTATGTGGAAACGCGCGTTGGCCGGCCCAAAATAATACTTGTAAACCACACCTCCACCTTTGAGTATTTCCTGTCTGTCCTACTTGATTCTGGAATTGTCAGAATGGTACTCCCGACTTTGTCCATATCGCTCTGTTAGATATCCGACGTATCGATACATAATTTCCAAGTCATTAAAAGGTTTTTAGCAACTCGTAGTCATGGCAGCATTTCTGAATTTGTAAAGTTTTACAATATAAAGTTTGTCAAGAAACAAAAATGCAATTTTTGACTTTAGATGCAAATATAAAAGCCATTTGTTCAAAAACTATAATTTTCCAAATTTGAAACTTATAGCTATTATACTTTAGGAGATATAAACTTGCGTTTTGCCACGCCCCCTGTGGGCGGACACATATCTACCATAGCTCGTTAGACTTGAGTTGTCAACCCGCGTACCAAATTTCAGGTTTCTAGCATCAATAGTGCCTAAAATATAGCAGAATTCGAAAAATCACTATATCTTTCAGGTCCGATTTGCCACGTCCTAGTAGGCGTAGATATATAATTTTTTCAGCCATCAACTTTTGGAGATACAGTTTTATTCGATTTGCCACGCCCCTAATAGGCGGAGATATATCCGCCATAGCTCGTGATCTTGGGTGGTCGACGCTTTCTAGCTCAACTAACATGATTTCTGGTATATTGGAAAATGCATTTTCCTATTTACCACGCCCCCAGTAGGCGGATCGGAAAATCTTAATACTTTATAGATCGGAGATATACACGAGTATGTATTCGAAATTTCAAGTCTCTAGGTTCAATAGCGCCGAAAAAAATTGCGTTCATACGGACAGACGGACGGAAAAGAGGGACATTCAAAACCAATATACTAATTCACTTTCGTGAATGAGTATAAAAATTAGAATTATTATACCCAGAACCCATTTTCAATGGAAAATCAGGGTATAATGGTTTTGTCGAAATATATGTAACAGGCAGAAGGAGGCGTGGCAGACCCCACAAAGTATATATATTCTTGATCAGGGCGACGAGCTGAGTTGATTTAGCCCTGTCCGTCTGTCTGTCTATCCGTCCGTCCGTCGATTTCAGAAGATACAAGAGCTAGGACCTCAATTGGTTTGTAAAATGTCCGTGTATACCACGCGGATATCGAGCTTTGCTTTAAAATTCGATAGCTACTCGATATTTTTTATCGAAAAAAGAACCTTATTGAAAATCCGTTACAAAATTATATCTCCTACAACTTTAAAGCTAAATTTTTAATGTGGATTTATATGCAATTTTTACAATTTCGGTTTTTGTTAAAATTTACCCCTAACCCCTATATCCAGACCCTCACCAACATCACTGACCAGAGAACACATAGACTAGACATGTAGAACAAACTTTTTCAACACCGAAAAAATGCGCTGAACAGACCGGACAACTTCGTATTTGGTCGGCCCGGTCTTCTGAGGCTCAGGCAGTGAAATTAAGGCACGACAAAATCAGTGTGCTGCGACGGCTGCCACGAAATGCACGCATTACCAAATGAAGCACGGCTATGCGCTCTTTTTCCCTTACTCACTCTCTCCCTCTCTTTATGGTCTCTCTCTATGGTCTCGAATAGCAGCAGCGCACAAAAATTGAATATTGTTCGCGACGATCCCAGCTCTTTCCTCTTGAGTGAAGGGTATACCGAAATCATAAAAGCATTTGTCACGTTCATGCAAACAAAATGTAAGCGTTTCGATGGTTATTCGTGGGAAGGGTATGAAAGCGTTGATACGCATAAACAATATGATTTCGCGACGGACAAGTACACACACACTTGTAGTCCCTTGCTACATGTATGAGCATTTGTGACCTGCGTGCGTTTCTCTTGCTGCTTGTAGCAATTTTAAAGCCCAGCATTTGCATTTGGTCGGTCTAACGGACTGTCATAACCACTTTACACAGATGTACTATGTATGAACATACATACATATGTACATAAGTACATTTATATATTATTATTGCTAATCATGTTTATAAATGTGTTTATATCCGTAAATAATTATACATAATTAAAATTATTTTATACACATTTTCAACCGAAAAAATTATCGTAAAACACTACTAACTTTATTAAATGCTTTGCAATATATGAAATACACATGTCATATTATACTCAAGCTTTACTCATTATTGTCAAAAATTTCTAATTAAGTCATAATGGCCCATTTGATAGTCACCCTACGATTCGAATCATACAAAATTTACAAACTACTAAATCCAGAGACAATTAGTTTGCCATCCCATACAAGCATACACATACACAAATGTATGTATGCATGTGCTCACTTCACAAGGCAGACCAACGGCAAATTTTGGGCTGATAATAGACGAAAATATTGAGAAAGAATTGACACAAAAGCACATACACGTAGCAAGGATGTAAATGTGTGTGTGCATGCTCGTCGCGAAAATGTATTCTTTCTGTGCACAACAGCCTGTGCAAATTGTAAAGCCCAAAATTTAAATTATTCAACAAATAAATTCTTATAATGTTACCTACACTACAGCGCAGCCCAAGCGCAGTTAGCAGAGCGCATTCTAATACGTTCGTTTGTATGTATGTGTGTCGAAAAGAAGTGCAGACTGATTAGAATATCAGATTAGAGGGTTCAGGGTATCTCCTAGTCGAGCAGTCTCGACTAGAGTCTTGTTACTTGTTCTTATTTGTTTCTAGCATTATCCTAGCTCTCTTATATGCCTGTTCTAGTCTAAATTTTGATTCCTTAGCATAGTCTTCTACATTATAAAGTGGCTTTATTGTATCTATGCTATTAAAATCTTTTGGCAAGTTTGACGTTTTGCCGAACACGAGCTCATATGGACAGAAGTCATGTGCCATAGGGGGTGTTGTGTTAAAACAATATACGAAGTATCTTAAACATATGTCCCAATCTGTCTTATCAACTGATATGTAAGATCGTATGAACTCGTTAAGTGTTCTGTGGCTTCGTTCCACGGTACCTACTGTCTGGTGATGGTGTGCGGTTGAAGTTATGTTTTTATACCCTGAACCCATTGAAAATGGGAAATCAGGGTATAATGGTTTTGTGAAAAGTATGTAACAGGCAGAAGGAATCATCGCAGACCCCATAAAGTATATATATTCTTGATCAGGACGACGAGCTGAGTCGATATAGCCCTGTCCGTCTGTCCGTCCGTCCGTCCGTCCGTCCGTATGAGCAAAAGGATCTCAGAAGATATAAGAGCTAGAGAACTGAAATTTGGCATGCATTCTCGTGTATACCATAGGCAGTACGAGTTTGCTTTATTTTTTCGATAACTCATCCGATAACTTTTTTATCGAGAATAATCGAAAAATCGACATTGTTTTTTCAGCCTAATTTGAACACTTTTAGACCTGGAGACTTCAAATTGGGGTGTATATAAAGTTAATGGATACAAAGATTTTGTAATTTACAGATTTTGGATACCACGCCCCATTCGCCCCCAATTTGTAAAAAACGCATTTCAAGTACTAGAGACTTGTGCTTTAGAATGTACATACTTTTTGACCATATGATTACGCTCTGAAAGTTTCATTAAGATTGTATGTATACAAAAGAAATTATTCAACAAATAAATTCTCATAACAAAAAGAGAGTTCTCAGTGAGAGTTAACAGACGTGTTTACTATTGTGCTCTTCAATTATTCTTGTTTTCTTAGTTAATTATTTTTATTAAATTTCACATAATTGCGGTTCGGTTGTATATAGCAATTATCTATATTATCCTGTGCAAGGTTTGATCCGTTGTTCACTGCGTTTTTAATAATTTGCTTTTTTAATTTGTGAAGCTTTGTGTGCAGTGTCGGTTCATTAGTTTTATTATTTGCATTTTTGCTTTAGTGTTTCTATTTGTTGGCGCTCTCCCCAGTTCACTCTTTCTAAGTTTGTGTGAGTGTGTGCATAAGTTGCTCTCACTATCTACGGTTGTTGTATTTGCCTCTCTTGAATCTTTGATTTTTGTGGTGTGCAAGTATACTCTCTCGCTGAGGACTTTTGATCTGCTCTGTAACGGCTGTTTTTGTTGTTGACTCGCTCTCTCAACATATATTTTCGTTGCGCTCTGTAACGGCTGTTTGTTGTTGGACTCGCTCTCAACACATTTATACCTCTCTTTGTTTTGACATTTCTGTTTACATTCAGTAATTTTGTGATCTATCCCGATTGCCAATATGAGTTGCTGCAAAAAAGCTTGCACTTTCAGGCAAACAGTTGATTCTGCACAAGCGCAATTTATAAGTTGCTGGCTGTGTGATAACATGATGCATACTAAGTGTGCAGGTCTTACTGGGCGTGAATAGGACAAGATTATGTCTACTACTAAAGCTGGTAGTGGAGGCATACGCTGGTCTTGTCCGATTTGTTTGGAAAAACAAATAAACTTTTCTAAAATGTATAGTGCTGTGAGGTCTCAGTTTTTAAAACTGAAGAAGATTTCTATGCAGTTGACCAGTGACATGGCTGCTGCTGAGGAAATCTTAAATCAGTACGGCTTTGAAAGTCCTCTCTCTCAATTGGATACTCCTTTGTTGTCGGTAACTCCTTCTGTAATAGTACCGTCACCTAATTCGCTTGCTCCTCCCTCACCTTGCGCTTCTGTTTTGTCGTCGGCTCCCAATTCTCTAGATCCTCCTTCACCTTGTCCCATATCTGTTTCTCCTATTGAGGCTTCTATTGAAGCTCAAGCCCCTGGCCCAAATTTGGATGCTACTTCTATTGTTGCTCAAACAAAGAGTGACAATAAGTCAGCCTCTCATAGCATTACCTTATCTGTTGTCTCTCCTAGAAAGCAAGTTTTCTTATCTAGGCTTTCATCTGACACTACCATCGAGGCAGTATCGGCTTTTATCTCAAACAAGATTCCGGCTAATGTTTTTATATCGAAGTTTAGTTTTGCGACACCGCGTGAAATTGCTTCGTTCAAAATCAATGTGCCTGTAGAACACTTTGTTCATGAATTTAAACCCAACAAGTAAGAAAGCTCTAGTCGAGACTACTCGACTACGAGATCCCCTGAACCCTTGGAGTAATAGCTATTTCAATAATTTTTCGCGTCTTTCAGCTTACACAAGAAACACGCACACACACACACACACGCACGCACGCACACAGGCATACATACACACACATACATACACACACACAGGCATACATACATACACACACATACATACACACACACACACACACACACACATACACAAACAATTACATACATATACACACACAAGCATAAACACTCATGGGCGGCAGTGAGCGGCTACTATGAGAACTTAATTGCTTAATACCTTTTTTGTGGACGTACGATCTTCATGAAACTTTCAGATTATGATTATGGCATGGATATGCATGTAATTGCCAAAGCACAAGTCTCTAGTATTTGAAATACGCTTTTTACAAAAGTGAGCGTGAGGGGGTGAATTTAAGGGTGGGGGTAAATTTTAACAAAAACCGAAATTGTATAA